CCCTCGTCCCGCTATGATTGTCCCATTTTATCTTTTCGGTCTGTCCCACTAAGATTGTCTCATACCTTATTTGGTAAAATTTGTGTGATTCTAAATCATTCTTACTTTATTCTTGCTTTATCAATTCAATATCAACCACATAAACTCACTTTCATTAATAAACGTGTCACCTTCTCTTGTCTCAAACTTAGGGGGACGAAGGTAGTAATATTTTAGAAAAAATATCTTTTGAAAGTTCAGCTATATTCATGTTAAGGTAAACATCAGTCTAATTAAATTGTTTTTTTTTAAGGAGTCTAATTAAATTGTTAAATACTCTTTTTGACTTATAAAATGGTGAAGTATTTTTATCCTGTGACATTTTATTTGACTATTTATAAAGACGTCGAGTAAATATTTCAATATGGATCTAGTGGACCCTTTTCATGTTTTAAAATTTTTCTTGAAAGAGTTCTCCATTTGGTAGAGAGGAATTAACTATATTAGTATATAAAAAATCGTCTAGTATAAAACAGGTTTTGAATTTTGATGTCAGTTCGAGACTTCGAGTGGGCATTCTTATTTGACTTTTGCGTGAACCAGAGCTAATTGGAACAATTCATTTTCATCACGTGTTCAAATAAATCAACAATGCTGGATGTACTCACTTTTATACCCACCTTATACTCATCATGTTTATGCAGGTTTTTTTGTTTTGTTTGTGAACCTGTTTCACAAACAATATTTTGTTTGTGCAAAATATTGTTTGTGAATCGGGATTCACATACAAAAGAAATACCTTCACAAACATAGGTGAGCATAAATGTGGGTATAAGAGTGGGTAAAAAGATCATTTTTGTTTTTTTTGCTGTTTGAAACCTACGTATGGGGAGCCATATAATTATGAAGTTATGTTCTTTGTTACATTGACGTCCAATTCACTCCTACGCCCTTAGTTTGCCGATTGCATGCAAAAATTAGGGAGACAGATAATTTGCATATTTTAAATATAAAGGTATTGTTTGGTGTGCAATTTATTTTTATGCCCTAAATAACTGCTCTACTTTGTATTTTTTTAGAGTAATAATAATAATAATATAGAAATTAGAACCAACAATCAATCAAAACACTGAATTAAAGGGCACTCTTGGCCACAAGGGCAATTAAAGAAAGTACATACCTTAGTTTATACGATAGTATTAAATATCAAATCAAATGATGTCAATGTTTTACTTTCATGCATTTCCAATGAAAAAAATATGCTTTGCATCTAACCCAACGTTCCCAATTTTTTTTGATGGAAATCGGCTTAGATAAATAACAAATAAAAGCTCTGACTATGGGTCAATTTGTTGGAGATAATTGACTACGGAACCTGCAAAACAATGTTAGAAAAATAAAATGGCTCGAGACGCGTTAGACGCTGTCCTAAAGAAAGTATTTCCGGTGACCGGAAGTCTTTCCCCAAGATATAACGAGCCCTTCGACAAATTTGCCGGACACAGAATCTACGAGGATAAGAAGATTATATGTTATAATCCAGCAATTGTTTAGAGGGAGATAACACACGACACTGTTACTCCTCACTAAGATTGCAACCATATATATATATATAAAAGATTATATATACGTTAGAAAATTAATGCAAAGTGATCCAAACAAAAGTTATACGGAGTAATTAGCCAAAACGTTTTTTTTCATTATAAAAGGCTCCGTTGCAAAGATCAAATTTTAATGAATGGTTTAATGAAAAACATATTAAATGAACGTTACAAACTAAACCTTGGCTGCCCAATGTCCATACTCTCAAATTATTTAAATAAATAGAATAATAAGACACCAAGAGGCCAGGACGTATGCGTTCAAAATTGTTTAATCATTAAGATAGCATCCACACACATTAATTTGGCCGTTTACAATTAATTTGTTTATTAGTTTATTTGAAATATTTTAAATTTTCCAACAATCCCCCACATATTTCAAATAAACATTTAAGGTTAAATAATTTGAAAATTTGCTGGATTAACGGGAATGAGACTTTAAGTCTGGTGTCCGAATACTATGAACCAAACCGAGACAATTAAGTCTTTACAAACCGAACTTCTGGTGAAACATTGAGACCCTGTTTACTAACAGAAATATTTTCCAGTTTTCCAGAAAACTGGAAAACTGGAAAACAGAAAACAGGAAACGTGTTTACCAAAGAAATTCCTGGAAAACTGGAGAAAGGAAAAGAGAAAAACGCGTTTACCAAATTGTTTTCCAAAACGGAAAAACTGAAACATGTCTCTCTTTTCCTTAATGATTTGGAGAAGTGACTTTACTAGTTTTCCAAATTTGGAAAACGCAGATGATACAGTGCCTTTGCAATGAATTTGCATACTTACACCTAGTGGTGGGTCTGGTCCCGCTCCGATGTCGATTCCATTCCGGTACCTCCATCCTCGTACCTTACCCCTACCCTACCCTACCCATCAAACCCCCACCCCGCGTACCCATTTTTCCCTATAATGACCTTACCCCACCCCCCACAATATGCCCCGACCTCGGCCCCACCCCGATCCACCCTACCCTACTGCCACCCCCCTACCACCTCGACCCCACCCCGACCCACCCTACCCTACCCCCACCCCTCATATATTACCACTTACCCCTACCTTACTCCTTATCACATGCCTCCTACCTCGGCCCCACCCCACCGCCATCCTACCCCCACCCTACCCTACCTCGGCCCCACCCGGATCCCGGGCCCACCCTACCGCCATCCTATCCCAACTCCCTACCCTACCCCCTACCTTACCCCAACCCAACCCCTACCCACTACCCCACCCTTACCGCCATCCTACCCCCACCGCCATCCTACCCCCCACCCTACCCCTACCGTACCCCAACCCCACCCTATCACCATCCTATCCCAACTCCCTACCCTACCCCTACCTTACCCCAACCCCAAACCCTACCCACTACCCCCACCCTTACCGCCATCCTAGCCCCCCACCTTACCCCTTCCCTACCCCGGCCCCACCCTGGTCCCGACCCCACCCTACCGCCATCCTATCCCAACTCTCTACCCTACCCCTACCTTACCCCAACCCACTACCCCACCCTTAACCCTAACCCACCCACTACCCCCACCCAACCCCTACCCCTAGACCTTACCACCCCACCCCGACCATACCCCTTACCCCGCCCCACCCATAACTTCCCTACCTCGACCCCTACGAGTAAGTATGGGTGGGTATGAAGGGTTGTGGTGGAGTACAGGTAGAGTGTAAGATCGTGGTAAGGGTAGAGGTAAGGGTCAAGAGTGTGGAATTGGAGAACTGTGTGAAAAAATTGATGAACATGTTTTCAAATTTGAAAATGGAAAACTAAAAAATAGAAACAGAAAATTGGAGATAGAAAAACTGAAAAATAAAAACAGAAAATTGGAGAACGAAAAACAGAAGTAGAAAACAGGAAAATATCTCTGTTAGTAAACAGGCCCTGAGTTTCTATGAGCCAGTAAGCTACTATGGTAAGTCAGGGTCTTAATGGTCATGTCTCACCCCCCACAATTCCTCGTGTTAACGTCGTGGTGCGCCTTTAGGCCGTGCGCGTGCTTGGTATTCTTGAGTGCTCTAGAAGCGTTGTCATGCTTCACGGAGGCGGCCCAACCTCACACTCATATAGGTGACCTCATCAAGTGTGTTCTGCACTTAACACACCGGCCATAAGGCTATGAAAATCATTAAGAGTTTTAGCTCAGTCTCACAACGAATGCAGTCTAGCCTCACCCTAGAAATGAACATATATAATAGGCCAGCAGAACAAATAGAAGACTTGTTATTACCTATATGAACCTACTTCATGGGATCTCCAATCACACAGGTTGGGTTACCATCCCTATTTGTTATCAAGTGACAGTCCATTTCCCTCGGTGAAAAATAAATATCCTAGGATTTCGGCCAAAGGAGACTTTTTACTCCACTTGTCATAGTTATATGACAACTTTATGTTTCATATATTTCATATGTTTCATATGATATCGTTGTAGTCGACCATACAACAATATCATCTAAAAATTATATCATCATTGTATTACTTTAATACAATGGCTTAGCTCATCAAATACACTTTTTGTGTTTCCACAATTTTGCTCAATCTTCCGACATTAAGTCGGATTTCACATAGTTTGTTAATTTAACAAACTCGCAATTTTAATATTCATTATGAACATTAATATTTACTTCACCCATTTAATATAGAAAATCACTTGGGTGATATTCAACTACTCAATAGATCTTATTACCTTCTCAAAAGGTAAGAGAATTCATAGCTAGATATTACCCCCACATTTTGATTATACGGGGTATTACATTAATCTCACGGAACATTAGTAAATGCGAATAATAATCTTAGGGAAATACCGTACGTCTAACAAGACAAGAACACAATATATAACTGGGTATGTAAACATTTACATACATAGTAAGCACAATTCAAAATTTAAACAAAACTGCCAAGCGGCTTATCCGTGCAAAACCTCGCAGATGCAGTAGATAAAAGTTTTACATATGTGGTAGGAATCTGAACATACTCCGTATATAATAAGTAGTGATATCCCAAAAAAATCTTTACATGCAAGCCCAGATAGATTCAAACAATACATGATTTAAATTATATAAGTTAACAATACGACCATTATCCAAGTAAGAAGTAATTTGACAGATTTGGATTTGCCACTCAAGCATGCATGCATGGGAAAACGTAATGCGGAGTGCAATCTTTAAAATTTTATTAGTAATCAGTCTGATACTCTGATCACAACTAAATTTATTTAAGAGAACACGAAACACAAAATAGCAACGTAAACAACTTATTCACGTAAGGGAGAAGAACGAGTTAAACACAACCAGTGCAAATTCAAATTACACATCACCATTATTAATTGTTAATTTATTCTGCAATGGTAAAACAAAATAACAGAAATTTGCAGAATATTCAAAATCTAATTGAAACACCGTAGGAATTAAAATGCACCGCACAGCAATATAATAATAATATGAATGAATAAAACTATGACAAGCCATTAAAAAATATTCCAATTTTATTCAAACGAAAAATTCAAACGTACATACTAATATCATAAAAATTGCTTACAACACTTATTCAGCAATTAAAATAGAAAACAAATGTAGCTCACGACTTATTAATCAACAACTAGAAAACAAATTACTTTAACACCTCTGACACATTCAACATGAAAAGCCCTTGATTACTATAACCTCTCCCAATGAATATATTGTTTTTAGTGAGAACCACCTTGTCGGATTCAAAAGATGCGTTGACACCACCTCTTCCCAAGAGTGAAACGGAGATTAAGTTCGTCCGTATCTCGGGCACATGAAGCACGTCGGTGAGTGATAATGTCTTGCCGGATGTGAGTTTGATATTAACTTTTCCCTTTCCGTGCACATGGGTAGTTCTAGAATCCCCAAGATGTACGTACTCCTCTTCATCCCCTATTGGTGCATAGGAGGAAAACACATTTTTGTCTTGGCAAATATGCCTAGTAGCTCCCGAGTCTACAACCCACTCCTTCACATCCGCCACCAGGCACGTTTGTGGGACAACCACAGTTATAATTTCATCACCGTCAACAAAGTTTGCACTTGGTTTGGGTGGTTTTTTATTGTTCACAAACGCCTTTTTTCGACACTTACTAGCATGGTGCCCCGGTTTCCCACAAACATAACATTCACCCTTTCTTTTAAAATTTGTGGTTTGTTTATATTTATTGTAATTGGGCTTATTATTAGAATGATTATTTCCATACCTCCCTTTGTCCTCCGTCTCCACCAAGTTTGCAATTTGATGTATATCCCTTTGTCCTCCGTCTCCGACTCGTGACATTTTCCTTCCGGTTTGTGTCTTCAATGATGATGTGAGTAATCACATCATTGAAAGACATGAGCCCAAAGTCGTGTTTGAGATCTCATCTATAGTCCCTCCAGGACTCCAACAACTTTTCAATTAGAATCCCGACAACGAATGGCTCCGGCAGTTCTATCTGGACGCTCTTAAGGTCCTCCAACACGTCTGGTACTCGTGAATTTGCGCCTTGATGTCTCTGTCCTCCTTCATCTCCCACTTGTAATAGTTTCCTATTACAAATTTCTGCTTGACGATGCCCTCAGCCGTGTACTTAGCTATCATGGAACTCCAAATTTCCTTCGCCTCTTTTTGTGTGCGCAATAAACATCAAACAATTCGTTAGATAAAGTGCTAAGAATTGTATGACGGCAAACCTTGTTTGCGTGGGTGCACTGTCACGCCCCAGACCGCAATCCAAGCGCGTGTACAACCGCCGTATAATTAAGTGACGTCACCCGCGAGTCAACCTCACTTAATTACACAAGGCGTTTGAGAAAACAATCCATCCATGCTCAGTAGTAAACATACATAACAACATCACATTTAAACCATTGAATAGCGGAAATATTCAACGGTAAGTCATAAGCCACAACCGGCCAACAACATGGGCATGCAAGCCCCAAAAATAGTTTATAGTAGAACAAATATCCATGAGCAAGTGTTCGGTAGTTTGAAAGAAAATAAGGAAGCACGAACCACGTCTTCCTGATTTGATACCACCCGTGAGAAGGTGCAAGTAGCAAGCCCTAGCTTCAACCTGAAAATGGTGGGGCCCCCCGAAGGGGTCAGTACAAGTACCGAGCGAGTAGCAGGCTAAATATAGAATAACTAACGTTTCAAGTATAAGACCCAAACATAGGGTGATACTTAAATAGATAGTCTTTCCCCCAAGTTATGAAATATTTATTAGTATAAATATATACTTGGAAAATATCCGATCCGTAGATCACCATTTTATTTGGGAAAAATAGTAATAGTCAATATTCTTGACTAAAAACCCCAACCCACCCATATACCAATGAGTGTATAGGACTCCTCCTTGTCCCTATTCCAATATCATAATCTACGAGTTTTGAGGATCATAATCCCTGGGGTACTCCACCGGTTTGTGAGTGTTAAGGACTCATAAGTCCTAGGGTCCTCCACCAAGTTTGAGTGTTAAGTACTTTTAAGTACTAGGGTCCTCCACCAAGTTTGAGTGTTAAGTACTTTTAAGTACTAGGGTCCTCCACCAAGTTTGAGTGTTAAGTACTTTTAAGTACTAGGGTCCTCCACCAAGTTGAGTGTTAAGTACTTTTAAGTACTAGGGTCCTCCACCAAGTTTGAGTGTTAAGTACTTTTAAGTACTAGGGTCCTCCACCAAGTTTGAGTGTTAAGTACTTTTAAGTACTAGGGTCCTCCACCAATTTATAATCCGAGTGTTAAGGACTTTAAGTCCTAGGGTCCTCCACCAAATTTTGAGTGTTAAGTACTTTTAAGTACTAGGGTCCTCCACCAATATATTTGCCTATGATCAACCTTCTATCAACCTAGATAGAGTCTATATCATACTTAGTTCCTCATAACTAATCCAATACATCAAGCTTATGTATCACAATCCATGCAAAGCCATGCAATTATATAAATACATAATTAACTAATACCAACCGATATTAATTAATTCATTATCCATCGGTCAACGTTGTCGTTGGCCGCCATTACAAGTCTTATACTTATCAACTTAACCATCATGTAATTAAGTTAATAATATTCATTTGTGCATCTTATACATTTCAAACAAATATGTATTTTATAAAATCCTTCATATCATATTCCATGCACAAACAATTTATTTCTTTCATACAATCTTAACCCTATTGGCTAATCACATGTTTAAATATCTTTTAAACATTATTATGAACTCATATAACATTTATTTAGGTAATCTCATAATTAACCCAAAAGTTATAAGATATTAAGCCGTCCACTCACCTTGAATTAGCGTTATGAAGTTCTACCCTTCTTGGTTGAACTCCGGTGAAACTCCGGCGACTTTCGGTCAACTCCGGCGACAACTCCGGCGACTTTTCCAACTTTGTGAAATCACTTGAAATACCTTTCACAAGTTCCTAACAAGGTTTTATAATCATAAAACCCATATTAATGCAAATAACCTCAAAACGGTTATTTTCCGGTGAACCGGTCGTTTTGGCTTCTAAGTCCGTTCTTGGACATAGAATCCCTTTCCAACCCATTAATCCATACTTATAACATGTAGAACCCTCTTAAGGATTCTTCACATGATATATATCTCATATGGTAGAAGAAAAATAAAGAAAAAGTTATAATAAGGTCATTACCTTAATTATTTCACACTTTTAGCACTTTAGCTCTTTTTTGGGTGATTCTTCTTTGATGAGCTCTCTTCAACAATGGAGGAAGGATGTTGGGTGGTTCTTTGCTCTTCCTGGGTTCTCTTGACCGAAAATGAGGGTGGGAGAGGGGTGAGGCTTACCCATTTGTCTCATTGAACAAATGAGTGTGGATGGGGGCCACCTCATTTTTGTTTGATGCCATAAAGATCATATCAAAGCCTCCTCCCATGCTTCTCTTCTCTTACCAGCCGGCCAACCCCTCCAATTTGAGTGGCAAAAACGTGGGTTGGCCCCCACTCATGTGGGAGGTCAACCCTTTTTGTCCCGAAGTGTACAATCGGTCCCGAAAGTTGTATTTTTTGGACTGTTTTAAATATATTTTATTTTATCAGGTCCAATAAAATATATTATGTGCTCTTACTCATTATGACATGTATAATGAATATACATTCCCCAACTTTAATTTATAAGCCTCCGAAATTCAGTTCGGGCTGTTATCCGTTAAATTACCAGTACCGGTAATTTGGGCCTCTTTTGACCGATCGGTCAACTCTGGGCCTTTCCATGGCCCAAATGAAATATCCACCAATATATATTTATTATCTAGACCAAGATGAATAAAATATATGGTCTCGGGAATGTCGGGCAGCCCCCACACTCGGTGTGGGTCCCACGTGCAATTTACTATTCACGCGAAAGAAGTAGTAAAAATTTACAACTTCGTAAATTCATTAACCCTTTAATAAGGTTCAATACATTATTTACATAAAAGTAAATATATTTGGGGACGGTGTTACATGCACTGTTGAAGGAGCTTGATGCCTTCAACAGCATTCGACATTGACTTGGGTTTTGCTCAGTTTGGGTTTTGCTCAGTTTGGGAAGGGAGCCTACCTGAATCTCTTGCTTCGAGTCGATTCACAGCATTCGAAATTTGGCTAACTTGAGTTTCCAAATTTTGAATGCTTGACTTTGTTTCTTGTTGAAATTGCACCACATTTTGTTGCAAGGTGCCCATGCTCGTAGCAAGAGTTCGAATCATGTCTTCCGTAGACATACTCGATTGAGAAGGTGGGTTGGCTTGTTGAGAGTTTCCATACCTCAAGTTTGGGTGATCCCTCAATCCGGGATTGTAAGAGTTTGAAAATGGGTCATACCTCCTTTGTTGATGTCCTTGGAAACCCAAGGCGTTGACTTGTTCTGTGGTGTCTTCTTGAAGAGTTGGGCATGAGTCCGTGGGGATGCCCTTGTTGTGTACAGATACCGCAGACCTTGACTTCTTGGGTCTTGGACTTTAAAAGGAAATCCTTAACCAAAGAAGTCAAGCCGGTAACTTGACTTGTCAAGCCGTTCACTTGACTTTCCAACGAGTTGTTGGATTTTGCCGCCATAACTCTACGGATTGAGGACCGCCCGTTATACTGTCTAGAGTTCTCGGCCAACTCCGAGATGAGATCTCTCGCTTGTGAAGGAGTTTTGTTGACAATGCCTCCTCCACACGCTGCATTCACCATGCGGCGATCTTGATCCACAAGACCATCGTAAAAGTAGAGAATGAGGTCTTGTTTGGTGTATCCGTGATAGGGGCAACTCGCACATAGCTTCTTGAATCTCTCCCAATATTCGTATAGAGATTCATCATCTTTTTGTTCAATGTTGCTTATTTGCTTCTTGAGTGATGATGAAATAGAAGCGGGGTAGTACCTGTCAAGAAAAGCCTTCTTCATTTGTGGCCATGCAGTGATACTTCCCGAAGGAAGATAGAATAGCCAGTCCTTTGCGGTATCCTTTAGAGAGAATGGAAAGGCCCTCAGTTTGATTTGCTCCTCGGACACACCATTGGGGCACATGCTTGTGCACACAATATGGAACTCCGACAAGTGTTTGTTCGGATCCTCCCCTCGTAAACCATGGAATGATGGAAGGAGATGAATGAGCCCAGATTTTAGCTCAAATGTGACCCCCGTATCAAGAGTTGGAAAAGTGATACATAGAGGTTGTTGATCTAGATTCGGAGCCGTGAGCTCCCTCAATGTTCTCGTTTCATGAGCCATAGTAATTGGCTCTTCAGTCTCGCTAGATTGAGAACTAGCACTTGATGATTCTCCCGAGTCGGAGCTTGAAAATTTATTCTTCAACCGCTCGAGAGTTTGTTCTATTTCGGGGTTTGATTTGTAGGTGATTTCGTTCAGTGAACGATATTTAACCATATAATACAAAGCTCAGAAGAAATAGAAATCTTTATACTTGAAGTAAAATATTTTTTTCTTTTTCCTTAAAATAAAATAAAAAGAAAAATTAATTGTCTTTCCCCGGCAACGGCGCAAAATTTGACGTGCACTTTGTCACGGTGCGTCAAAATAAATTCAATACTAGCACTAATACGTAGTATAGCGTAGTAGAGTTAGTTCGTATCCACATGGAAAGTAATAATTCTCTTTTTAGTAAAACTAGTGAATAAGGGGGGTTTTGGGATTGAGTGATTTAATTAAATTTAAACACGAAGATGAACGAGTTATATGTGATTTAATTCAAAGATAAAAAAGACTTGGCATTGCTACTTTCCACTTGTTGATATATTTTAGTCGATCATTGTTATATCTATAACTTATCTCCCTCTCAAATACTCAATCAAGGAGTATATCCAATTCATCGAGACTAGTTATTAACAAAGACCGTTCATTAATAACCCTTACTATTAGTCAAGTATAGAACACCACCATATACCGACTTAATAGTAGCATTTAATCTCTTAACTCCTTGATGAAATCAATTGGGATTGATAACCTCAACACAACGGTTTCGGTTTAACCAACAAAATTAATCCCTCTTAAGTTTATTAACCACGACCGTGCATTAATAAACCGAAGTTACTTACTTGTGAAACCATCAACGATTAACCATCGGTTCGTTGATCGTTTCTAGTAGTAATTAATGTCGAGATGTTAACTAATTGTCATCTTAGCAACACTCCCCAACATTAATATAGAGATAGATTAAGGGAAGAATTAATATTCAAGGAAAAAGATTAAATATGAATAATCCTACTATAACTAATGTCAAGATGTTATCTAATTGTCATCTTAGCAACACTCCCCAACATTAATATATAGAGGAAGAAAATAAATACTACTATAACTAATGTCGAGATGTTAACTAATTGTCATCTTAGCAACACTCCCCAACATTAATATATAGATAGATTAAGAGAATAATTAATATTCAAGGAAAGAAGTTAAGAAAATAACTCACAACTTTAATAATCAACAAGCTTCAAGAGCAACACCAAGAAATGGAAGTTTAGCTCCTCATTTGGAGACTAAACATGCTATAAATGTATAAAAGAAATACTATTCTAAACTGAGCTTAAGAGTATGGAAGAAGGAGTGATGAAAAGTGAAGGAAAATGGGGTTATTTATAGGTGTTTTCAACACCCTGGGGCATTGACCCGCCCGGGTAAATGCACATACCCGACCGGGTAAACGTCAAAATCAAATATTTCGCCATGCTCTCATGTTTCTGCACGTCGTTTGGTCCCGGTTCGTGTTTGACCCGACTGGGTCAAGTAGGGGACCCGACCGGGTCAAGTGACTTTCTCAGCAGCTTCTGATTTCTTGTCATGCCCGACCGGGTGAAGTATTGTACCCGGTCGGGTTCTTGGTTCTGGGCAGCCAAATCTTTTTTTTCTTCACTTCAAAGTCCTCCTTTTCAACACCCTATTTCCTAACTCTACTTTACAACTTACAAATGAATATTAAAATACAATTACAACTAAAATCACACAAATGTTTACAAACTAAATAAAACGGTAAACAATCCACACAAATAAAACATAAAAACATACACTTAATGCACTACTAATTAGTGCATATCACTAACCCTACATGACGAAGAGGATAACCATTATCAAACTGAAGACACATTTTTTTTTTGATCGGATACCAACTTTTTGATGGGAAATGGGCAGGGATGTACGCCGATCTCGATCGCCATGGGAAAATGAAGATCTCGACGCAGCGAGATGGGGAATCGCTGAAGGAATAATTCACAGTGATAGGGTAGGGGTGTACGGTAACAGAGATGGAATCCTCCGGTGCAAAGAACCGTACTCGTCCGACGGTTTCAGGGCCAACTCTGCGCCTATCAGATGGAAACAACTACGGTCTTCCGCCACAAACAGGGGCAACGTTTCAGATGGGATTCTTCGGCGGCAAGGTTTCCGGCCTCGCTCGTCCGCTAGCTAAAAGGACGTTACGTTTGGACTCATTCGGGAGGAGGAACTACAACGGCGCCAGTCCGCTAACTACTAGGGTGATACATCCGCAGCACCTGTTCGGGGGTTCCAAGGTAGAAACCCCAAGTTTTCCCAAAACGTTTTCAGACCACATCTGCTACAGGGCACCAACAACGAGGGTTTTGCCAGAAATAGAGGTTTGGTTGATTCTGTTAAGGTTGAAAGCAAACTTTCCTCTTTTCTACTCATTAATTCCTCTTTACAAATCTCTGAAACAAAGAAGGATTTTTGCTCTTCAATTCTATTCAACCTTGAAACAGCTATATGGCTTAGGGATTCTTTACTGACGGTTGGAATAGGGAGTTGGTCATTCACTCGATTTGAGAATGCCAGATCAATTAAATTGTCTTATGAACACAATTATTGTGGAGGGTTTGTTCGGATTATGGAAATTGGGAATTCTGTTACCTCGTTGTGCATTCCAGGATGTCAGAAAAGGTCGGGTTTCTCTCTTTTTGAGTCCAAAAACTCTCAAGCTGTTAGCATCTTGAAAGAAATTGAAAGAGAAAATCCTAATCTGACATGTCAATTTGAAACTCGAAGGGAAAAGAGTTTGGATGAACTACAAATGAATAAAAGTGAATTCAAAGTACAATCGCTAATGATAGTTCATCACACGATAACAAAAGACATGAGCTGCCGAAATGAAAGAACAAAAGATAAGGTGAGAAAAAGAATGATGAGGCTTATTCACGCCAAATATAACTGTGGATCCCAAAGAAGTCTCGAAAAGCAAAAAATCTATGCACGTTTAGACTGCTGCCTAGTTTGCACAGTCTTAATCGAAGACTGGTCCACATAAGCAAATAACCGGTAATCAGAGGTGGGCTTTCAGTCATCAGGGCCCGTAAGATTGTTTAGAGATTGTAAACGTGTCCATCTGATGGTTTTTTTAGTAGAGGGGTTTATGTGATGGTTTTAAAAT